GTTAAGGCTGAATGACTTCCTACGGTTATTTTTCTGAGTGCTAAGCAGGTTAATTAATAAGCAACTTATCACAAATCCCAGTGAAAACGGATGAACTCAAGCATAATGGTAGTGCTGTAATGGATTGCTTAAAGAAGCCCCTTTGTTGTAAGCAGTAGTCATTTCTTCATTGTGTGTAAGGTTAGATAACAAAGCGTGTATCACATGATTCAGATGTAGACTGAAACTGGGTAACAAAGTTGAGTAAATTTTCATGTTAAAACCTCACTTCACTATTTAATCATTGCTGACACACCTCCTACTTTCTCTCCCCGCCATCTTGGGAAATGTAAAGGTCAGAAAGTCCAGCCGTGCATCAAACACACACACATTTCCATGCCTATCTTTGTGAGGACACTTATTGACATGATGTATTCCTTAGCTACTAATCCAAAGAGTAAAAGAATGCTGTACAGTGGCCCTGAAAGCTCATTGCACTGCAATTTGAACAAAAACCAAAGAAAAAAATATTTTAAAAAAGCAAAAAGATAACATGCAAGCAAATTAAGACAACATCTTCAATATTTCATCACATCACTGCAACATGTTTTGCTCTTCCATTGTGTTTCCTGTAATTGAAGCCTTTTATTTTATAAGTGCTGCCTCTGTGTTGGCAAATTAGTTATGATATGTTCTTGTGCTTTTCAATTTGGATTTGTTTTCTTGAGCTGCAGTGCCTTTAGATGTCAGGGCTACCTCAATAACTAAGTGTTTATATAATCACACCCCTTGCTCTAATCTACACCGCATTCCAGCTCGAACTCTAAATCCAAATCTTAACCCTCAAGTAGCCCTTTGAAAATTTGTCATCAAGAAAAAAAAGCAAGCGAGCCTTTCATCATGAAATATTCAATATATGAAGTATAAGATGACAGGAAGGTGGTTTTCCCATATAAAAAGGCTTCAGTCTGGCACGCGGTGGACAGTTGTCAGTGAGGTGTCCACTGACATGTGTAAATGGGCCCTGACAGGCTTTGTTGTCCCTCTCTGTCCTAATGGAGGCTAAACAGAAAAGGCATCGAGATCAAAGTCGCATCCAAACTGTTTGAACTCTCTGAGGAAATGAAATAAAATAGTGGCCGGTGAGGCCAGCATTTTCATCACACTCAGTGCACTGATGGTAATATAAGCAGAGAAACACACATGCAGACAAATATTTATACACTCACTGGCCTCTTTGTTAGGTACACCTGTTCAATTGCCCATTAATGCAAATATTCATAAATCACACGGCACCAACTCAGTGCACTTAGACATGTAAACATGGCCAAGGTAACCTGCTGAAATTCAAAGTGAGCGAAAGAATGGGGAAGAAAGTCACTATGAACGTGGTTGTTGATGGCTGACAGGCTGCTCTGAGTATTTCAGAACCTGCTGATCTAGGGGGATTTTCCTGCACAGCCGTCTCTAAAGTTTACAGAGAACGGCCTGAGAAAGAGAAAATATCCAGCGAGTGCTCCCAATAAAAATGCCTTGTTGACACCAGAGGAAAACCTGAGCTGATAGAAAGTAACTGAACCATTCATTACAACCAAGGTTCACAGAAGAGCATCTCTAAATGCGCATGTCAAAACTTGATGCATCTGGGCTAAAGCAGCAGAAGACCACACCGGGTACCACACCCACAGCTAGGAACAGAAAACTAGTGACTACTGTTCACATGGCCTCTCCAATATTGGACAATATTGTCCTGACACAATACCATTAAAGCATTGGTTACACACCACAACCTACCTGAGTAACATTCCTGAACATGTCCATTCCTTTATGACCACAGTGTATCCATCTTCTGATGGCTAATGCACCATATCACAACACTCAGATCTCAAATTGGTTTCTTGAACATGACAGTGAGTTCACTGCAATCACATGCCCTTCACAGTCACCAGATTTCAATCCAGCAGAGCAGAGAGGAAATACAAATCTGCAGCACCTGTGTGATGCTGTCATGTCAATATGGAGCAAATGTTTTCAGCACCTTGTTGAGGCAGCTGTGAAATTAAAAGGCAGTTACAGTACAAGCAAGATGTAACTAATGAAGTGGCCAGTGAGTGTATAGATGTAGACAAGCTGAGTGTGAAGAAATAACTCACACAAACTATGAACAGTTGGTGAAAACACGCAAAAAACATTGTCTCTATATAGTATAATGTCTCTATATAAATTTATCAGCATTCATTATTAATTAACAATACATAGTGAATAAATAGAATTACCACACTGGATCGGCTCTTATCTGAGAAAGTTTGGAGGCTAACTCTGTGCATGAAGCTGCATATGAAGTAGAATTAAAAGCAGCAATCAAACAGTCTGTAGTTTCAGCAGTTTTCTCTTAATGACTAAGTGAAAAGCACATTTCTGGAATAAATTTAAGAGGACGGCTCATTTCATGCATCTTCAGACACACATATATTCGCGCAAACACAGACAAGTGGGAGAAAATTATCATAAGTCATATTTGAGATCAGTCAAATGGGTGTGCAGAAATGAATTTCAATAATAAAGCCTATTTCACAGATGCAGCAGCAGTTCATTTGAATCAGTAAGGCGATATCTGCTGCCCCTAATTACCAGTGACAGATTGGGATGAGATTATCCGCCACTCTAATCTTTGTTATGAATCTCTATTGAGGATGATTCAACAGAGATGGATAAAGCTACTTTGAATGATTATTGGGAAAAGGGGGGGGGGGGGGGGGGGGGGATTCAGGTATTCATTGTTTGCTTTTTTGGGGGGATCAGTAACTTTAAAGTCTTTTAACTGATGACACAGGGGTACTTTATTATGAAAATGTATTTTCTGTGTGCTCTGCTCTCCTCTTGGATGCATTCGGCTGTCGACCACAACCGTGATCCCTTGATTTCAAATTGATCAACCATGTCTATGAATATCAATTGAGCTGTTCTCTGGTGAGAAAAACACAGACGTCGTTCATCTGTGGGGAATTTAAGAGTTCTGCATCAGTCAGTTCAGTTCGGTATAACTTTGAAAAATATCCTCAGGGAAATTGGCGGTCTCTGGTTTAACACAACATTGATTGAACTACTTAATCTAGAATTTTAGCCACAAGGAAAACTGCTGATTCTCTGCACAAAAAATAGGAAAAAAAAGAAACGAAAGGAAAAAAGTTTTGGCTAAAAATGTCAACAACTGATATTTTCCACACCTTGTGAAACTAGTCAAAACTGCCTTGTGCAATACTAAACATGACAGCCGTCACAGTCAGATTCTGTCCAGAGCTGACATAAACCTTGACAATGTCATGCAGATGCAGTTACAGTTTGAGTTCTTCCAGTTAGGATCCGAACACATGCAAGTCATCACAGAGGGAAAACACAGTCATGAGGTAAAAATTAAACGCTCACCAAGCTTTCCTGAAAGCAGTGCTGCCTCTTAATAAATGTAATAACCGAGTAAGTGAGGCAGGCAGTCACACTGAACAAAGGCTCTATGAGGCAGTGCTTTGTCTGTCAGCTGTCACTACAGCTTGCCTGCTACGGTGTAAAACACAATTGAGATATTCCTTGTCAGTCCCCGTATCAGCCAATTTCGTTCAGATAAAAATAGCAAGTACACATTTTGATATTTGTATTTTTAATACGAGGATTCGCAGAGCCTCTGGGAAAGTTGTAAAACGCTGTATTTTGAAAACAGCATGTCTCAATTTTTAAAATATTCCTTCATATTCTTTCTTCAAACACAGACCCAGATTTTTCCGCTCTTAGTTTAGATTCAGTGAACATCTACATCCCGTTTGGTTACAGTCTGGAAAAAAATAAATACTTTTTTGTGGAGAGGAACACTAAGCAAACACCAAACTTAAAAACGGGTAAACACCATTCACAGACAGAGCCTTTGAACGACTCAGTGTTGAATCAGCTATAAATACACAGCTATGTTATAATTGTTTTCCTCTGCCATCTAAACCAATGAGCCTAGAGGTCCTGCGGTACAGTGATGGACCACATCACTGGGAAAATGCACTGTACCTCAGAACCTGGGCGAACTGCCTGTTGAATGCACAACAGCCTCAGCCAAAACACACAGAACCAACTTCGTGTGCTGCTCTGCCTGCACAGTGTGTTTGTGTGTGTGTGTCCCTGTGTATGCAGACATTCTAAATACAACTGTGGCAACGTTTGAAAGCTCAATACTTGATCACCGTGTTGGGCGAGTTGTTCGGCCGCTGCTGCTGCAGATGTGAATGAAAATTTCTAGCCATTTTGACTGCACGAGCTGCATCAGCTCATGCGGGTCAGAGCTTTTCCGAGCTTACAGCATGAAACGTGATGTAGTAAAACACAATGCTCTGCCTTTTAGGGCAGCTAGGTTACTGTGTGCTTACACAAACCCTAATTGTACTGTTAGGGTGGGAAGAAGCACTTAATGGAACAAGAGCGTAATCACTAATCACAGCTGCTTTTTGTTAGCTGCCATCCTGTTAGGGAACTGACAATATGTCTGTCATTAGTCAACCGTCTCTCTTGAAATTTCAGCTTAAATGTGTTGTTTTCTTTTCACTGAATCTGGCAAAACAGCCATGTGGTCCGATAAAGCAGCAATTTCAAGAGTTTGACTTCCAGCGCAGAGACAATTAAAGGTTTTGAGCAGATGCGAGTAAAAAGCTTTTGACAACAGAGGCACTTAGTCTCTCCTGGAGGACGCACTCTCTCCTTAACACTGAACACATTCTTCCTCAATCATGATTTGCAAAAGAAGCAATGGACAAATTTTGCGGAAATCAGAGTGAATTTTGCAGATTTCATCAATATGGGATGCAAAAAAATAATCATCCTAAAGGAGGTACTTGAGTTTTACTTGGCACACAGCACATGCACATATCTCTCTGACAACCTCTCAGTGATCTGTGCACACTTTACCAACATTAAAGCAGCATCTTGTCTATCAGGCAGGGTAAATGTGCTTATTGCATTTTTATTTTCATTTTGAAATGACTTACCAGGCATAAACCGCTGAGTAGAGAGATGAGTAGAAAGTCCAGATTGCGGAGAAGCAGAGAGGATCCCATCCCTGACCTGAGGCAACTCTACCTCCAAGAGTCCTTGCAGGGCTCAGACAGATGCTGATTGAGCTCGGATGAAATTATTTAATCTACTTAACTCTCTTCAAAGTGGAACGAGTTGTGTTTTTTCACTCCATCTGGCCTCTCGATGCTTATGATGGCTTGTGAAATCATAACTCTGTAATCGCCTCGCTTTGCCCTCGATTTAATTTCCTATAATCTACTATATGCTCCGGCTCAGTCTGCTCTCTTTATTTCTCTGCATCTGTCTTTTTTCCTCTTCTGAAATTACATCCACATGTCAGAACTATTTATGTCGCCCTAGCTCTGCGGTGGGAAGTTCAAATGATTCTTTGTAGGGAAGAAACCGACGCTGTATTTTTAGGTCTTTTAAATTTCCCCCTCAGACTAACTTAAACACTTCAGTATGGAGCTGTGCGCCTTGCGGCTTATTCCAGTATTCTTTTCCAAGCGTTAGATCAGCGTTGTACAAAAATAAGCCCGAAACGTATCATTCCATCACCAGTCGCTGCTGAATTTCACAACTTCAATCCTGTGACTCATGTCACCATCAACAACGCACGGATCTATCGTGCAGGGCGGCAGTGGAGCAGAAGGATCGCAGACAGGGTCTACTTTGTGCATTTAACAGTAAATGGCAGCCAAGTGAAAGAGCGGAGCGTGAAATTTCAAACTTTTAATAGAAGTGTCTGATTTGCGTGTTTCAACTCAATCACTGTACGCGTGTTCGCTACCCCTGGTTACCGGTCTTTTTCTTTCTTCTTCTTTTTTTCTTATAAATTAATAAAAGCACAAAACGGTAGTGTATCAGTTGTCATGTCCACAAACCGTGCCGAATTATAAATCTATCCACCGTGACAGACAGAAACGGCATGTATGGAACTCTGTGGATCTGTTTAAGCTACCGATGGTGATGTGAAAAGCTTCAGAAAGGAGGAAAAACGCCAACTTGGTCTGAATAATTTAGGCTACTTACTATCAAGAGAAACCCAAATTCACCCTGACGGACAGATAATTCGCAAACGCGTGTTTGTTCGCAGAGTAAGCGCAAAACTTGAAGTTCCTCGTGTTGAGAAAGCGTCTCCAGATGTGGCAGGAGGCAGGTCGTGCTCAGTAGTGAGTATGTGGATGGAAAAGGAGGGGGGAGGAGGAGGGGGGGCGGAAAGGAGGCAGGTAGGGTGGAGCGTAAGAGCTTTTCATTGGTGCGCTCTCTTACGTTGGAATAAACCACGGCTCCGAAATGACATATTTTCTCACCCCTCAAACAAACTCCACATTCAACAGATCGCAGGGCCTTTGCCAAACCGCTTTTTCCCCCCTGCACTCTCTCAAAAGTTGCAACTACTAGTAGGATTGGATTACTGAGACATAATGCAGGAGAGCGTGCACAATTTTCTTTTAACGAATCGAGATTTTTGTTTGGAAATGAAATAATAGAGGATTTGTGGACAGTCTCATAGCAGTTTGTCTATACTTTATACTTTATGCTTTTTCGCGAATATGTTTGTGTGACACTGTTATTTTAATCGTGCAGGCAGACATAATTATTACTATTATTGTAATGGTGATAATAATATATACAAAGTCGTTCCTAATCAAATACCTGTTTATAACTGATTATCAGGTTAAGAGACGATTAACCCTTTAGTGTCCAAATATAATACAGGCCGCCTGGTCTTATTTGGTAACTTTGGGTGTAAAAGTCCGAAATCATACATGAGTGAACGCTTTTTCCGCCGTTCTTTCAGATTAACCTCAGCTTTCAGCTTTGCAGTTGTTTTATATTACTGACTTTTAAAATTGTTTAAAGGGGGGGAAACAGTTTTTGTCTTCACGGTTATAATTAAGTGAAAACTGGTATTTAACATGAACAAAATGTTAGACAACTTGAAATATGAACTATAAATTTTTTTGTACGTTTTTTGAGCCTTGGTCTCTCTGTTTTTCATAATGTCACTTTTATATCCCAAATGTCCAAGCGCTTTATGGACTCTGTGATAGATACTAAAGTAGTTCCTGTCCACCTGGAGACAGAGACCCACATTGACACTGATGACACATGATGACACTGCCATGCCAAACCAGGCATGAATGCATGCAAACATCACATATATGTTTTGACTATCTTCCTTGTTCCTTCCTTCCTTCACATTTCATTCTGTAATGAAATTATGTAAGTGTCCCCATCCCACTGAAAATTTCCACTTTCTGATTTTGAAGTCTTTCAATCCCGCTGTGATGTCCTCATTTGACCAAGGCAAGTGGGAAGATCTCCAGCTGTTTAATTTTTTTAAGTGTCTTTTCTCAAAAGTGATTCTAGAACCACCAGTTCAGCAGGTTATGATGATGGTTTTCGGGGAAAATGGCAAACACCATTGGAGCTGCTTATTCCAGTTGCTATGGTACTCTGACAGCAGAATGTACAGTGCTGTTTTTTACAGTGTGGTCACAGTTGTGATCAAATGGCACAATGACTGAAATGCCCCAGCTGTTAAACCATGCAGAGTCCCAGCTATCATAGAATAGTTGTAGGATTATAAAACCACCTCACAGGCTCCCACAAGCAGAGATATAGTAAAAGGCAATTTCAGTCCTGCTGGGTGTAACCTACAGTGCACCACCTAGAAATACCCAGCTACACCTTTTCAAAGAACAAAAAGGGTACATATTTGGGCCCAGGGAGTAAAAAGGTACACGCTGGCACCATTTCATCTAGATTTTAAAACAGGATTACTTTTAAAAAGATTGTGTGTGTGTGTGTGTGTGTGTGTGTGTGTGTGTGTGTGTGTGTGTGTGTGTGTGTGTGTGTGTGTGTGTGTGTGTGTGTGTGTGTGTGTGTGTGTGTGTGTGTGTGTTCAGGGATATGCAAGGTCTTAGGTGAAATATAAATTTTCAAGATAATTTCGCATTAAACACAGGAGCACACAGAAACAGTACATGGAGGTTGGGGTGATGGGGATAAGGTTGTATGTACCGATCATGGTGGCCAGCCTTAGCATGTGATTTATATTATCTTGTTTGTGTTTGAAGTACATGCCGAGTATTATAAAGGGAATGAGCTCTAGGCGCAACATAAGCATGCGGTGTTTTTGTTTTAACTGGGTCAAGTTTTTCTATAAAGTTGAAGTCAATTTATCTAAATTTTCATGATCTGTTAGCAAGTTGAGCCAGTGAGTTATTGATCATTTTGGGGTTTTTTTCCAATTAAGAAAAATAGCTTTTAATGCAACATTTAAAGGCATTAAGCTACAAGCTTGGAGGTTCTTAGGTACAGTCAAAGAGAAGAAGTCAGATCCAAGTAAAACAGAGGAGGTGAGATGCTGAGGCTAGCTCTGTCGAAGGTTCTAGCTTTAAACTTTTCTGAGGCATTTGTTCTCCAATTTGTTTTGTGCTCTGACAGGGCATTAAGATATAGACACCAGAGGTTCAAGACTGGTTTCCACATGGTACAAACCACAAGTATGCTAGCAAGTACAAATATCAAGGGTATCAAGGGTACAACAACAGCACTTTAGATGGTACTGCCCCAGCTACATGCTACTGCGCCCATTAAGGCAATTTCTTTTCTGAGAATATAGTAAGCACTTTGATACAACTGTTATTCTGATATATATAAATAAAATTCTTTTGTATTGATACAATATATCAAGCATCAAGCAGTGACTCACTATAAAAGCCATCAATGCTGATAGACAACCGTGATTGGCTGCTGTTGTGGATGAACATCGTGTGTATTATCCATCAGAGAGAATAATGTTTCAGCAATCAGCTTTAAAGTCATTAACTGCCATATGCTTCCGCCACACAGGGCACAGGCTGGCATCTCATGCTGACATTGTTTTAATGCATCAAATCAAAGTTTAAGTCGCAGCAGCACTCATCACGTGTGCAGTTATACTTGAATGTATGTGTTTATTGTGGGGTTTAAAATGCTCCAAATCTTTGTAGTTTGGCGTTTTTGCTCATGTCTTTTAACCAGCTGATTAACTGTACGTTTTGTTAACAGTGTGAAACTAAGATAGAATAATGACTCAGTGGACAAATTCATAGCCCCAGTTCTCTGTGTACTAGGATGGATAATGGGTATTTAGTAATTTGAGCATAAAAGCTCGCCTTAACTCAAGGTTCACTACATTTGTGGAGCTCTCAAGCCTTTTACAGTTGTCCCTAGAGGATACACACAATACGGTTCTTACATTCGATTTTCATGTGTATCATACCTGCTAAGAAAGTGTTGTTGTTGCTGCTCAGTGATACGTTTTTGAAAAAGTCAGTCAAAGATGGTATTTATATATTGTTCACTTGCAATTAAAATATAGGATATGATAGGACCTATAATTCAAGCTCTTTATTTGCCGACAGATTCAGTGAGGTGCAGTTGATGTCTTTGTTTAAAGCTGATAAGAAGACCAAGCTTTGCTATATTCTTTCTGCCTCTTCACGAAAAAAGCAACAACATATAGCGATTTAGTCTCTTATTTTTTATAAGGACTTGATGTCAGGTTGTTGCTGTGTCACTTTGCTCAGTCAGTCAAAGATAAAAGAAAAAAGCCGCAACATAACGAGAAGTTGTTTTTGCATGAAAAAATCAAAAAAGATCCAGTACCATTTTTATAACCCCTTAACTAAGCAGCAATGCACTATAGGTTATGAAACTGTGTGTCTTTGCACAGCATTGAAAAATAAAGATATATAAATATCTTTCCCATTTTCCACTTCCTTTTTTTAACTTCCTTATTTTCTTTTTGCTCTGTGTATTTATTTCTTAGAGGTCATGGTACTTACTATAACAATGTCCTCAGTATTAACCAGCAGAGCCTTCTTTTCCATCATAAATATAGGTTAATTCCTGCGGTGCAAGATAATACACAATATAAAAGCGGTCATAAACAAGCAATAAGATGTATCAATATATTTGCTCATCTGCCTTGCAGAAGATTGCACCCCACTGTGCCTCTATGGAAAACTCAAGATACAGTAGGCTGCAGAAGATTAACAGACGAGACTGTGTTTAAGACATATGCATAATCTCCACTCAGTTTTCAATTCATCTGTCAGGGTTTGTCTTTCTAAAACAGAGCTTTTCTTTTGAAACAGTCTCTGGGAAAGGTTAACCTTGCCTTCAAGCCAATTACTGTATCTCTGTGCCAGTTCTGCTGGTTATGGTCTTATCCATGGTACTTATTCTTAATTTTTCACCCTGTCCTGCATCTTTTGCCATCAAATTTATCACAGAAATATTCTGTCCATCTGGAATGATTAATATCCATGTCCAGTAATTGTCTGTTAGGTTCAGCGCTCTGCTGTGACAGCACATCTCTATCTATCGATCTATCTATCTATCTATGAGCGCAGCAAGCTTCCATCATGGTTGGAGCCCAACTCTGTAGGAGACCAACTTGTATATTCTTGTTCTCTCACATTTACAAAAGGAATCAGATATCAAAGTAGATGAAAGTGAAAAAAGCTATTAAGAAATCTATTATGGTAAATGGCCTGTATTTGTATAGCACTTTTCTAGTCCCTAAGGACCCCAAAGCGCTTTACACAACCTGTCATCCACCCATTCGTGATAGCAAGCTACAATGTAGCCACAGCCACCCTGGGGCGCACTGACAGAGGCGAGGCTGCCGGACACTGGCGCCACCGGGCCCTCTGACCACCACCAGTAGGCAACGGGTGAAGTGTCTTGCCCAAGGACACAACGACCAAGACTGTCCAAGCCGGGGCTCGAACCGGCAACCTTCCGATTACAAGGCGAACTCCCAACTCTTGAGCCACGATCGCCCACGATCTGTTACACTTGGAGGAAATTAGCTGTTCCCCTTATCAGCTCTCATTATCATCCACTCATGTTAACTTTCTCTACTTAGAAAAAAAAATAAAGATAGTTTTGGCTTCTCCACTTGTCACAAGGGGTCGCCACAGCAGGTACCACTGCATGTTTGATTTGGCACAGATTTACCCGAGATGCCCTTCCTGACACAATCTCAAAGGGGACTCTACTTACAAAAAAATAATACGTTAAAAAAAACACGCCAGTGTAACATATGGCATGTATTTTGTATTACGTATTCACCACTGAAAT